CCACCTACCTTGCCCTAAAGTTTGGCACGTTACTTCTGGGACACCCTTTATAAGAGAACATGGTGGAAGCCAGCTTGGAAAAACCGAGTTAATCACCTTAATAGATACATATGTGCGTCCTCTTCTGGAATATTCTACGTATCTTCGTCTTCTGTTTTTTTTTTCAGTTTTCTTTTCGGAAGTCGTGGATTTAATCGGGAGTGTCGCCCGTTAATTTTTTTAAAACCTTCCCGATACCGCCCATCCTGGGCATTTTGAAATTAGTACTGGGAGTCCTGATGACCCGCGCCCATCTCTACTGTATACTACCATGTTTGGTGCCGGCGAATTCGATCAAGCTCAGTCAGCTATCAAACAATTCCTCGTAGAGTTTCTATCATGGAAGGTCACTATATTCGTTAAGTCAAAAAATGTTCGATAATGTCGCGCATCACTAGCAAACCTTTGACATGTCAACGCCGCTCTCTGCTAATTTTCTGAGCACAAAAATATCGAAGGTAATGAAAAATTCCATGAGATGGCTTACTCACGATTCAGAGGTTCCAGGTCCTCACTTCATTGACGTAAAATAATTCGCAGTAAGAATTCTTACCGCCAGTGATCCAGCGATAGCGTATACCAGCAAGTTCTCGCCGCAAAAGTGGTCGGGATGAGAAGTAGGACTAATCGATTCACCATTGCCTTTATCAATGTCAATCTCTCAGGTAAGGCGACTGAAGCACTTGGGGTTCCGGTTTTCCACCAGCCTAGCAGAGATAGATAAGGGGAAACTACCGGACTTCCACATTTTTTTCTGCGACAGTATTTATTTTAAAAAACGCCATAGGTACACTTTGGGATAATTCCGGTTCCAGAGACGACAGTGGTATATTTACTACAAGTCACTAGATTATGAATTTATTTCACATTGTCCTGCTGGGTATTCATAAATGTGTGACTATTCATATACATATGCGTATATGCAGAGCTGTATATCATGTATTATGCGTTTGCGTATATAAGTTCGTTTTACTGTTGGTGTTATTCATTGATTGTATAGTAGTTATAAACAGATTTACAATTTAATTTGAAAATGGTCTCGATTGTTTAATTGTTTTGGGTCACATTCAAATAATCAAGTAATGAATATTGAAATGATGAATATGGAAAATTTAACCAATTAATATATCAGCGATGACAACAAAAAGGCAAAAATATCTGTTACAAAATATTAACAATTGCGTATAGATGTGTAATAAAAGTCATGAGGTATCGAATAAACCGGTCGGAAGTGTACATTTGTAGCAAGTGTTAATTTGTAGGGAGAATCATTTAAACATATGAGCAAAACACGGTTACGGTAACTGTTATACTTGAGTGAATATTTTCACATATTTATTAAAAAAAGTGTACATAAAATTAAGTTAAAACAAATAAGAAAGTCTAAGTTCGAGCGGAGCCAATCGCCCCTGGTTAGTTTTTGTTCTCGGCCCCAAACTTCACCTTCACCCTTGTAGTGCCAAATAAGAAGACAAAGAAAATAAGCAGAAAAGTATAAATTTTTATATATCCTTACATTAATAATAGAAAGGCCCTAACTTGCTTTCGTCCAAAATCTAGCGGATTTTGTGGCTGTAGAATTTGATATTCTGTTAAATTATTTAATGAAAACAAAAATATTATTTAGGGCCTTTCTATATTAAAATACCGATAGAAGATACACAAGGGTATAAATATAAAAAATTGTTCGAAACGTAACCGCTTTTTGGAAAATATTGCTATACGTTCGCGTATTAATTTGAAATTTCCCACTCGTTTGAAATCGCTTTGAAGAACCAATGTATAGAACATGTTAATCACATGGGAAAGGAAGGTAGGGACGCTGAAATGACACAAAAAAACGGCGGGACTGTTAAACTTAACTTTTAGTCGTAGATTACGGATATGTATACCGTTTTTATAGATTAGGTAATTTTCCCGAGATATTTTATTTTGCAGTTTGCATTTCGAAGAAAAAAAAAATCCAGTTTTAATATGGCAAATGTTACTCATACGTACGGTAACCATATTTTAGGAATACAAATATAGTAAAAGTTTCTGTTTTATATATTTATATTCTGCCAGCTTTACCTGAACCGTTATATACTGCATAGAGGACCTTTTCCTTCAACCCCTGCAAAATTTGTTAAACACTCTCAGTGCTTCTTGCGACAAACGTTGCGAAAAATGTTGGCTGCAGTTAAGCATACCAAGTTAATTGGAAATCAATTTTTGTAATTGAACTTTCAAATACATACACTGAAAGACTTCATGTCTTACTATACATATGAAATAAATAAATAATAATTCCAGTGTAGCGTAAATGGCACTAAGCAAACAAACATCTTACGTGCCTACTTTGATAACAAGTTTTCGATAAGAATTCCCGTTAGGAGCGAATGGTGAAAAGTAAAAGCTAGACTCTAAATCTATTTCAATCTTAAGCGATGGTTCTGAGCTAAAGAATAAAAAAAAAAATAAAAAGAATAACTACTTCTAAGCATAAAACTGCGTCTACCATCTACTTTGAAGGCTTCGACCCAAAGTTATAGTGCAAATAAATCTCTTCGAAGGTAGCAATTCAAGGAAGAATGGTTCTAAGCGATTGTGCCACGCCATGCATAAAGAATGTGGTATGGGTTCGCGAGCACAAAAATATTCCTAGAAATAGAATTGGCCCGAAAGGGAACTAACCTGTAGTCGTTCAACTCTGCGCTAAATGCCTTCAAGCAAACTATTTTCAAACGAACTATGGCTCAGATCCATTTTCATTGATCGTCTCTCCGTTAGCTCATTCTCTGCCATTGCACTGCCTTGTTCTAAATACGACAACGTAATCTGAAGCATCTCTTATCAAACAAATGCCCACCATACTAAAAATCTTTGAGTTTTCACAGCCTTTTCCGCTGTATACGGAAAAATAAATGGATCCTTTACATAAAAAAGTAGATGTAGTACACATCAGGTCATTTTAATAAATCACAATGGGGGCTTCTGGCTGAATTGTGTCTCTTTAAATTTTCTATACAGTGTGGCAGTCATAACCCCGCAGTAAGTCGTGCTAGTTGACAACCAGCGCACGAAATATCTAAAGTCCTAAAATAGTTCACAAATTGGGTCTCTGTGTCTCTATCTATATCCTTTTCTAAATACCTCTATTTTAATCTTTCTTTCTCTATCTTCATCTTTACTTTTGACGGTATCCTCATCCTCATCCACATCTTTTTTTAATATATTTATCTTTGTTTTTACTTTTATGTTTATCAATTTCTTCATCTACATATTCCCCTTCACCTTTGCCCTTTTATATAAGTAAAGTGGTGCATTTAACTTAGTCTTAATTTTTGCCTTTACCTTTAGGCATCTTTATCCTTTTCTTTATCAACGTACGTACTCGCCTATACTTTCATTCTTGTATTGGTCTTTTTCTGTTGTTATTCTTTAACCTTTTATTAGCGCGTTTTTGTTAAATTAATACCATGTA